TATATATATATATATATATATATATATATATATATATAATTTGAAAACAACTAAGTTAATTTGTATAATTAATGTTCATATATCTGCAAATGAAAGCATAAAACAAGTTTTATGTAACTTTTGTTTTAACCAAGAAGATAGTAAAAAATAGTAGGAGTCCTCCTCGATTTTGATATTAGTAAGTACTACTAAATACACGAGTAATGCTCACCTACCCACGGGGACACATGTTAATATGTCCACCGTAGATGTGACATTCACACATTGGTGATGTGAATATGTTCAAAAACATACATCACCAATGTGTACATGCCACATAATCAGTGAACATATTAACATGTGCCCACCGTGGGTAGAAGAGCATTATTCCTAAATACACATAGCAAAGAGTGCAGAAAGTACGTATATTAAAAGCAATGAAGTAAACGCTAAGTAATCTTATATATGGAGGCAAAATTTGAAACAAAGTACCCCAAATGATGGGAAATTCATATGCTTCACGCTCAAAAATCCCGCCTGTTACAACTGTTGAGCTCTTTGTACGTGCAAATTAAAAAAAAAAAAATATTAATCAAAAAAATAAAAAATTAATCAAACATTCCAAGAATCGTAAATCATAAATGAAGCGAACCTTAATTCCACCACCAAGAGGAAGATCAACATTGAATTCATGGAGTCGTGAATGGGGTGTAAACGAGCCGGCCCGAGTTGAACTCCTAGTACTCGAACTCGAGCCCGAGCCTTTGCCGAGCAAAACCGAGCTCGATTGTTTAACTCAACAAGCTCGATTACATAAAAATTCATGCTTTTAAGTCTTAATTAATTAACGAGCTGAGCTCGGATCTGCTCGGTTCAGCTCATTAGTTAAACAAGTTACAAGTGAGCCAAACTTACGAGCGATTCGTTTGTTTAACATATGATGAACGATGCAAAGGAAAAAAAAAAAAAACAATTAAGGCCAATATATTTTACTGAAGTAGTAATTTTATTCATCGGATCATCATATCAATATTCATGCACTAATCAAACATTACTTGCCCCTGTAGCTAAAGATAATAAAAGGATAAAAAAGGAAAAAACATTCAAAAAGAAACAAAACTGCAACAAAAATTAACCACCTCTCAAGATTCAAACATTTAAACTCATTAAAAAAAAAAAAA